ACTCACCTGGAGCAGCCAAGGCTTCTTCCCGGCCATCGTTTTCGGCAGGTTGATGGATGTTCCAGGATGTCAAGGGGAGAGAGGCAATTTCCTCGTAGGAAGCCAACTTGACCATGTCCATGTGGTTGCTCTGGGGCTATGGAGGAAAGGGAAAGGGGAGAGAGATCATCCCATTTCCTCGATGAAGCAAACTTGACCAGGAAGGTGGGGCTCTGGTAGCATACGGGATGAAGCAGTCTTGATCGGGCTAAAAAGGGGACGTGCGATACTCTCATGCTGGACGCGGTCCGGCATGCAGGAGACGGCATATTGCACTGGAAGCTGATATGGAGCTGTGCATCACCTGCAGCGAAGAAGGCTTACATTCAGAATTAGGAGAGGAGGAAAGACCGGCTTCTGGGTGTGGTCTTTCTCCAGTCTAAAGCCGAAAGCCGCCGTTGCATAGACACATCCAAGTCTGTGCTGGCATGACTGCCGAGCGCCGTTGCCGCCCACCGGATTGTACCTATTGATCTACTTCACAGGTGCATATGTTTTGCACTCCTAGGTTGGCGAAGCTGGAGCTGATAGTGCAGCCTATTTTATGCCCCCCCCCCCCCAAAAGCTCCCGATTGACGCTGCGGCCGTTCAGTCAGCCATTCAGAGCTCAGCACTGTAACCACTGCATCCATGACCACAAATCCTGTAAGGGTTTGTGGGCATTGCCTTGATTTGGAGTTGTATTCACCTCCTCCAGTGGGCGATACCGATAATTGAAATTTGGCTGAGGGAGGGATTGATTTGTCTTTTGGGAGTTGTAGTTTCTGGAATTTATAGTTAACCTACAATCAAAGAGCATTTTGAACTCTAACAATGGAATTGAACCAAACTTGGCACACAGAACTCCCATGACCAACACAAAATACTGGAAGGTTTTGGTGGGCATTGACCTTGAGTTTGGGAGTTGTAGTTCACCTACATCCAGAGAGTACTGTGGAACCAAACAATGATGGATCGGGACCAAACTTGGCATAAATACTCATTATGCCCAAATGTGAACAGTGGTGGAGTTTGGGGAAAACAGACCTTGTCATTTGGGAGTTCCAGTTACTGAGATTTATAGTTCACCAAACTTGGCATGAATACTTAATATGTCCAAGTGTGAAGTTTGGGGGAAACAGACCTTGACATTTGGGAGTTGTAGTTGCTGGGATTTATAGTTCACCTACAATCAAAGAACATTCTGAACCCCACAAATGATAAAATTTGGCCAAACTTCCCACACAGAACCCTATGCCTTGAAGGGACTCACGGGCGTGAGCCTCGCTAGCTAATCGCCTCCCAACAAAAGATTCCCCCAGGCAGGAAGCAGTCAAGCTTTGAAGCTGCAAGGCTATTCAATGCAAATCAAGGTGATCAATTGAAACATTCACACTTGCCTCAAACAGACAAGAGTTCTTTCTCCCACCCTGGACATTCCACAGATATATAAACCCCACTTGCCTAGTTTCCAACAAACCTTACAACCTCTCAGGATGCTTGCCATAGATGTGGGTGAAACATCAGGAGAGAATGCTTCTGGAATGTGGCGATACAGCCCGGAAAACTCACAGCAACCTAATTTTTTTTTGTCGTGTCAAGAGCATCCTGTTGTGAGAGAATTGGCATTGCCCTGGGGACGCCCGGATATTTTGATGTTTTACCATCCTTGTGGGAGGCTTCTCTCATGTCCCCGCATGGAGAGCTGGAGCTGAGAGAGGGAGCTCATCCGCGCTCTCCCCGGATTTGAACCTGCGACCTGTCGGTCTTCAGTCCTGGCGGCACAAGGGTTTAACCCACTGCACCACCTAATAATAAACTCACAGCAACCTAATAATAATAATAATAATAATAATAATAATTTTATTTCTACCCACCTCTCCTCGTGGCTCTACTTTACAGACTGACCTCTCATTTGCAAGCCATGAATTAAACTGGTTCCTTGCTTTGGACCCACACGTTTTGATTCTCTTCGTTGAGAATCAATATCAAACCATATTCCCCCTTAAATTTTGCATGTTTTCCAATATATTTGTATTTAAACGAAATGGGCTTTGAAAGAGGATTGCCTTCCCTGCTGCCGCCCCAGGGAGACCCAGAGATCTTATTTAAAAGTATAATAAGCTTATACAACCCTGCAACATGGTGAATGAGGCTGCAGACACCACCAGCATTGGCTAAAGAGAAATACTTTGCCTTTCTAGATCGGCGAATGGCTCTCATTGCTGAATCAGAGCATGCAGAGCAGCAGGACTTCAATCACTGAAGCAAACATTAAGCAAGCAAAGGCATCCAGTGACTAATTAAACAGCAGTGGGGAGGTCAGCCCAGTGCACTTACTCCAATTGCCAGTTAAAACCTCTGGAAAATGAGACTCTAGATTCCAAACTAAAGCCTGTGGTCTGGATGCGGCCCTCCAAGGCCATTGATCCGGCCCTCAACCTAAACTTTAGACTTAGATCGCCCTCAGTCTGAAACAACTTGAAGGCACACGACAACAAACCCAATTAACTTGACTGTCATCAGCCAGGACCACACTTCCCATTGAAATACTGGTAAGTTTATGTTGGCTAAAACATAAACTTCATTTTAAATAAGTAAAGGTAAAGGTTTGCCCCTGACATTAAGTCCAGTTGTGTCCAACTCTGGGGGTTGGTGGTCATCTCCATTTCTAAGCCCCTCGGGCGCTGGACAAGTGCCTGACCGCTGTGATGGTCTGGATGAGGACGAATAAGCTGAGGATCAATCCTGACAAGACAGAGGTCCTCCTGGTCAATCGTAGGCCGGATCGAGGTATAGGGTGGCAACCTATGCTTGATGGGGTTGCGCTCCCCCTGAAATCACAGGTCCGCAGCTTGGGTGTCCTCCTAGATTCAGTGCTAACGCTTGAAGCTCAGGCGTCGGCGGTGGCTGGGAGGGCCTTCGCACAATTGAAGCTAGTGCATCAGCTGCGACCGTACCTCGTGAAGTTGGATTTGGCCATGGTGGTCCATGCCTTAGTTACCTCTAGATTGCGCTCTACATGGGGCTGCCCTTGAAGACGGCCCAGAAACTTCAATTGGTCCAACGAGCGGCACCATTGCCTCACCACCAGCTACTTTCAGTGGGACAATGAATTCTACGAACAGAAAGATGGAGTAGCTATGGAGAGCCCTCTCAGCCTGGTCATAGCATTTCTACATGGAACACTTTGAAAAACAAGCCCTGGAAACAGCAACAAAAAAGCCCACAATATGGTTCAGATATGTGGATGACACCTTCACCATTTGGAGCCATGGAGAAGAAGAACTCAACAGGTTCCTGGACCATCTTAACAGCATCCACCCAAACATCCAGTTCACCATGGAAAAAGAAAATGAAGGAAGACTGCCTTTTCTAGATGTCCTAGTCATCCGCAAAGCAGATCAACAATTGGGTCACACCGTTTACAGAAAACACACACAGAGATAGATATCTACATAAAAACTCCAACCATCACCCAAGACAAAAAAGAAGCACCATTAAAGCCTTGGCAGACCGTGCAAAAAGAATCTGCGAACCCCACCTCCTCCAAGATGAACTGAACCACCTCAACTGGGCTCTCCAGGCCAATGGAGACTCCACCTCAGACATCAGAAGAGCTGCAAGACAACCAAGAACAAGCCACGAGAGTCAAGATGAAGATCCACCCAGAGGAAAAGTGTTCCTGCCATACATCAAGGGAACCACTGACCGCAGAGGGAAGCTGAGGAGGAAACACAACATACAAACTATCTCCAGACCTACCAAGAAAATCCAACAAATGCTACGTTCAGCAAAGGACAAGAGGGATCCTCTCACTTCTGCAGGTGTCTCCCGTATACCATGCAGCTGTGGACAAGAAGTCTACATAGGGACCACCAAATGCAGCAGCATTGCCCAGACACGAATCAAGGAACATGAAAGGCACTGCAGACTACTTCAACCAGAGAAGTCAGCCATAGCAGAGCACCTGATGAACCAGCCTGGACACAGCATTTTATTTGAGAACACAAAAATGCTGGACCACTCTCACAACCACCATGTCAGACTACACAGAGAAGCCATTGAAATACACAAACATGTGGACAATTTCAACAGAAAGGAAGAAACCATTAAAATTACAACAGCACAACAACAGAGAGGAAACAAACAAGGACATCTAATTACCTCTCAACAAAAGATTGCTCCAGGCACTGCCAGGCAATCAAATGCTAATCAAGGTGATCAGTTGAAACATTCACACCTAGCTCCAGCAGACAAGAGTCCTTTGTCCCACCCTGGTCATTCCACAGATATATAAACCCTTTTTCCTAGTTTCCAACAGACCTCACTACCTCTGAGGATGCTTGCCATAGATGCAGGCGAAACGTCAGGAGAGAATGCCTCTAGAACATGGCAATCCAATTGGTCCAACGGGCGGCAGCCAGATTATTAACTGGTGCGAATTACAGAGAGCGGTCAACCCTCCTGTTTAAGGAGCTCCACTGGCTGCCATTTATTTTCTGGGCCCAATTCAAGGTGCAGGTTTTGACCTACAAAGCCCTGAAAGGTTTGGGACTCGTCTACCTGTGCGACCGCATTTCCGTGTATGAACTCACACGATCTCTTCAATCTTCTGGAGAGACTCTTCTCTTGCTCCCGCCTGCATCGCAAGTGCGACTTGTGGGGACGAGAGAGAGGGCCTTCTCTGTGGTGGCCCCCCGGCTCTGGAATTCACTCCCCAGAGACATTAGGCAAGCCCCCACGCTGGCAATCTTCAGGAGGAATCTGAAAACCTGGTTATTCCAATGTGCCTTCAGTGATTGAATGAAAGATACTCCTTGGCCGAACTTTGTATAAAATGACCTCAGAAGCACTTTATTTTATGGTTCATGCAATTAAATCCTTCCTTATCCCTGGATCCTCCTCCCGATAATTTATATTGCCCTATCTCCCAGCGTTTTTAAAAAATTTAACATGAGTTCAGCCCAGCGTAATCCTTTGTGTTTTAACGCTTGATTTGCTTTTGCTATTCATTCATTATATTGGTTTTACATTTTATGTATTTTATTTCTGCTTTTGTGTTATATTGTGTTACTGTATTTTTGGGCATGGCCTCATGTAAGCCGCACCAAGTCCCCCTGGGGGAGATGGAGCGGGGTATAAATAAAGTTTTATTATTATTATTATTAAGCCGAAGAGCCGGCGTTGTCCGTAGGCACCTCCAAGGTCATGTGGCAGTATGACTGCATGGAGCGCTGTTACCTCCCCGCTGGAGCGGTACCTATTGATCTACTCACATTTGCTAGGTTGGCAGAACTACTAGGTTGGCAAAAGCTGGGGCTGACAGCGGAAGCTCACGCCGCTCCCCGGATACACACACACACACACACACACACACACACATATATATATTACTAGTAATATTGTAGCATAATGAGTTATTATTATTCTTCAGGAGGAATCTGAAAACCTGGTATTAAAAAACTCTAAAATTACAACAGCAAAACAGCAGAGAGGAAACAACCAGGCACATCTTAACACCTCTCAACAAAAGATTTTCCCAGGCTCAGCCAGGCCTTCAAATGCTAATGAAGGTTGTCAGTTGAAACATTCACACCTAGCTCCAGCAGAGAAGAGCTCTTTGCCCCACCCCAGCCATTCCACAAATATATAAACCCATTGTCCTATTTCCAACAGACCTCACTACCTCTGAGGATGCTTGCCATAGATGCAGGCGAAACGTCAGGAGAAATGCCTCTAGAACATGGTCCTATAGCCTGAAAAAACCCACAAGAACCTAGTGATTCCGGTCATGAAATCCTTCGACAATACATTGAACATCTCTACGGGGAGAAACTGTTCCAAGCCAACAGACCTCAGAACCTCTGAGGATGCTTGCCATAGATGCAGGCGAAACATCAGGAGAAATGCCTCTAGAACATGGCCATATAGTCCAAAAACCCACAAGAACCTAGTGATTCCGGCCATGAAAGCCTTCGACAATACATCCTTGGAATTTCCACTTTGGTGAGGCACTCTTGGGCAGAGAAGACCTTGCAAAACTACAACTCCCAGTGCGGCTGCAGAACAGAGGGTCAGAGTGAGTCGTCCAAGCGAGGGCCAGTCTTCATTCATTCATTCATACATTCTTTGCATTCCCATTTCGCAGGGTTTGGGACTCCAAAAGGACCAAAAGCTAAACAACAGAGAGGAAAAAACCAGGCACAGATTAACACCTCCCAGCAAGAGATTTTCCCAGGCTCAGGCAGGCCTTCAAATGCTAATGAAGGTGATCAGCTAAACATTCACACCTAACTGCAGCAGAGAAGAGCTCCTTGCCCCACCCCAGCCATTCCACAGATATATAAACCCATTTTTCCTACTTCCAACAGACCTTCTCAACCTCTGAGGATGCTTGCCATAGATGCAGGCGAAACGTCAGGAGAAATGCCTCTAGAACATGGCTCTATAGCCCGAAAAAACCCACAAGAACCTAGTGATTCCGGCCATGAAAGCCTTCGACAATACATCCTAGGAATTTCCACTTTGGTGAGGCACTCTTGGGCAGAGAAGACCTTGCAAAACTACAACTCCCAGTGCGGCTGCAGAACAGAGGGTCAGAGTGAGTCGTCCAAGCGAGGGCCAGTCTGCATTCATTCATTCATACATTCTTTGCATTCCCATTTCGCAGGGTTTGGGACTCCAAAAGGACCAAAAGCTAAACAACAGAGAGGAAAAAACCAGGCACAGATTAACACCTCCCAGCAACAGATTTTCCCAGGCTCAGGCAGGCCTTCAAATGCTAATGAAGGTGATCAGCTAAACATTCACACCTAACTGCAGCAGGGAAGAGCTCCTTGCCCCCTGGTCATTCCACAGATATATAAACCCAATTTTCCCAGTTCCAACAGACCTCACAACCTCTGAGGCTGCTTGCCATAGATGCAGGTGAAACATCAGGAGAGAATGCTTCTAGAACATGGCCATCTAGCCCGAAAAAAACCTACAACAACCTAGGACCCTTTTTGTTTCCCCCTCCTCTATTTATTTACTATTTTTCCCCAGCCGCGCATGCGCACACCCACTTCCGAGAGTGGGGAGAGGGTGCTGCTTCCTCGTTTGGCCTCTAGGGGGCGGAGGGGGATTCCCTGCCAGCGTGGGGTTTCCAAAGGACAGAGGCGTCAGAAGGAAGCGAGGAAGGAAAGGAAGGAGGAAAGACTCAAGACTTGGGGGAAAGCCCACCTTGTGTCCCAGGAGCCGCGACTGGCGGAGCTTCTCGCTTTGGCCCAAGGCTTGCAGGCGGCGGCGGAGCTCGGCCCGCAGGACGCCCTTGGCCCCGGCTCCTGCTGCCATGTCTCCCCCGCCTCGCATGGCTCTGGGCCCGCCTCCCCGCTCACAGGCAGGACTCTGCCCTCCAGGGAACTCTTGCATTACCCTGGCGGAGACCACCAGGTGACGATAGAGAGACAAGGCTAGACCATGCCATGCTGGTGGTGGAGCAAATTTGGGCAGAGGATCCGATTGTTGTAGGTTTTTGGGGTTGTATGGTCAAGATTATGGCAACAAGAATGATTGACAACTGGAAAATGGAGGGAGAAACCGTGGAGGCCGTGACAGACTTTGTATTTCTAGGTGCAAAGATTACTGCAGATGCAGACTGTAGCCAGGAAATCAGAAGACGCTTACTTCTTGGGAGGAGAGCAATGGCCAATCTTGATGAAAGAGTGAAGAGTAGAGACATTACATTGGCAACGAAGATCTGCATAGTAAAAGCAATGGTATTCTCTGTAGTAACCTATGGATGTGAGAGCTGGACCAAAAGGAAGGCTGAGCGAAGGAAGAGAGATGCTTTTGAACTGTGGTGTTGGAGGAAAGTTCTGAGAGTGCCTTGGACAGCGAGAAGATCCAACCAGTCCATCCTTCAGGAAATAAAGCCCGACTGCTCATTGGAGGGAAGGATAGTAGAGACCAAGATGAAGTACTTTGGCCACATCATGAGGAGACAGCAAAGCTTGGAGAAGACAATGATGCTGGGGTGGAAGGAAAAAGGAAGAGGGGCCAACCAAGGGCAAGATGGATGGATGGCATCCTTGAAGTGACTGGACTGACCTTGAAGGAGCTGGGGGTGGTGACGGCCGACAGGGAGCTCTGGCGTGGGCTGGTCCATGAGGTCACAAAGAGTCGGAGACTGAACGAATGAACAACAACAATGGTCATGTTCTAGTAGCATTCTCTCCTGACGTTTCGCCTGCACCTGTGGCAAGCATCCTCAGAGGTTGTTAGGTACGTTGGAAACTAGGCAAGTGGTGTGTGTGTGTGTGTGTCCATCATTGGTGGATTTCAGAATGCTCTTTGATTTTAGGTGAACTGCAAATCCCAGCAACTACAACTCCCAAATGTCGAGGTCTATTTTCCCCAACCTCCACCAGTATTCACGTTTGAGCATATTGAGTATTCGTGCCAAGTTTACTCCAGATCCATCATTGTTTGAATCCACAGTGCTCTATGGATGTAGGTGAACTACAACTCCAAAACTCAAGGTCAATGCCCACTAAACCCTTCCATTATTTTCTATAGGTCATAGGAGAGTCCTGTGTGGCAAGTTTGGTCAATTCCATCATTGGTGGAGTTCAGAATGCTCTTTGATTGTAGGTGAACTATAAATCCCAGCAACAACTCCCAAATGTCAAGGTCTATTTCCCCCAAACTCCATCTGTGTCCATATTTGGGCATATGGAGTATTTGTGCCAAGTTTGGTCCAGATCCATCCTTGATCATGGAGTCCACAGTGCTTTCTAGATGTAGGTGAACTACAACTCCAAAACTCAACACCCACTAACCCTTCCAGTATGTTCTGTTGGTCATGGGAGATCTGTGTGCCAAGTTTGATTCAATTCCATCGTTGGTGGGGTTCAGACTATTCTTTGATTGTAGGTTAACTATAAATCCCAGCAACTACAACTTCCACAAACTCCACCAGTGTTCACATTCGGGGGTATTGAGTATTCATGCCAAGTTTGGTCCAGATCCATCATTGTTTGAGTCCACAGTGCTCTCTGGATGTATGTGAACTACAACTCCCAAACTCAAGGTCAATGCCCACCAAACCCTTCCAGTATTTTCTGTTGGTCATGGGAGTTCTGTGGGACAAGTTTGGGTCAATTCCATCATTGCTGGAGTTTGGAATGCTCTTTGATTGTAGGTGAACTATAAATCCTAGCAACTACAACTCCCAAATGTCAAGGTCTATTTTCCCCAAACTCCACCAGTGTTCACATTTGGGCATACTGAGTATTCGTGCCAAGTTTAGTCCACATCCATCATTGTCTGAGTCCACAGTGCTCTCTGGATGTAGGTGAACTACAACTCCCAAACTCAGGGTCAGTGCCTACCAAACCCTTCCAGTATTTTCTGTTGGTCATGGGAGTTCTGTGTGGGAAGTTTGGCCCAATTCTATCATTGGTGGGGCTCAGAATGCTCTCTGATTGTTTAAGTAAACTATAAATCCCAGCACGCACAACTCCCAAATGTCAAGGTCTATTTTCCCCAAGCTCCACCAGTGTTCAGATTTGGGCATATTGAGTATGTCTACTCCACAACCATCATTGTTTGGGTCCACAGTGCTCTCTGGATGCAGGTGATCTACAACTCCCAAAACTCAAGGTCAGTGCCCACTAAACCCAGTATTTTCTGTTGGTCATGGGAGTTCTGTGTGTCAAATTTGGTTCAATTCCATTGTTGGTTTCAGAATGCTCTTTGACTGTAGGTGAACCATAAATCCCAGCCATTACAACTCCCAAACTACAAAATCAACAACACCACCACCCCCAACCCCACCAGTATTCAAATTTGGCTGTATTGGATACTTGTGCCAAATTTGTTCCAGTGAATGGAAATACACCCTGCGTATCAGATATTTACATTATGATTCATAACAGTAGCAAAATTACAGTTATGAAGTAGCAACGAAAATAATTTTATGGTTGGTGGTCACCACAACATGAAGAACTGGATTAAGGAGTCGCGACATTAGGAAAGTTGAGAAACACTAGGGTAAGACATTCACTGATGCCCCACTGCTGACGTCGTGTTACTCCATATAATTGTAGCGTCGTTTATCTTGTGCCGATTTCCTCATTGCAGCCAGTTCTTTTGCAAAACTATCATCTCTTGCCCAACATTTCCAGGAGCTCCGTTGTGTGCGCAATGCAGACAGATCTACAAGGTCATATGTGATTTTCAGTTGTGATGAATCACACTTCTGCTTTGGAAACCAGACCCAGTCAATGGGTTTGCTGTGAGTTTTCCAGGCTGTCTGGACATGATCCAGAAGCATTCTCTCCTGACGTTTCACCTACATCTATGGCAGGCATCCTCAGAGGTTGTGAGGTCTGTTGGAAACTAGGAAAAGGCGATATTCTTGCACTTACCCTGTTCTCTGTCTGCCGCCGCCTTGATCCTCGCAGGCAACGTCTCCATGCATTGCTGTGGCCCAGTCTGTGTATATGTGTTTTGTGTGTGTTTATATGTGTATATATGTGGTTTTGCACATGCGTTGTAATGTATTTTTATTTTTTGGCTTTTTAAGTCTCTTCTGCTGTGTTTTTCAGTGTTTTTATGAGTGATGGTCACTTGTTGGCCTAATAGGTGTCTTGTGTCCAAAGTTGGTGTCCATTCATCCAGTGGTTTTGAATTATGTTAATCCCACAAATGAACATTACATTTTATCTATCTATCCATTTATCCATTTATCCATTTATCCATCTATCCATCTATCCATCTATCTATCCATCTATCTATCTATCTATCTATCTATCTATCTATCCATCCATCCATCCATCCATCCATCCATCCATCCATCCATCCATCCATCCAGGGTATTAGAAAGAACCCTTGTCTTGTCTAGTCAAAGGATTCCCCCAGGCAGGAAGCAGCCAGGCTTTGAAGCCACAAGGCTATTCAGTGCTGATCAGAGTGACTATGTCATCAGTTGGGAGCCCCTCCCTCCAGCAACAATATAATAATATATTAATCTATTACTGATGTTCTGTGCTAACAATATAATATATTGTATAAACATATAATATTGATAATAATATTATAATGTAATACAATATAACACTAATAATAATACAATATAATAATTTTATATTTTATATTGCATGTGATATTACTAATAATATTACAGTATAGTGGTATACATATAGTAATATATAATACTAATTGTGCTATGCTAATAATATAATATATTGATGTACATATAACTTGTAAGCCACTCTGAGCCCCTGGGTGAGAAGGGTAGGATATAAATGTCATCTATATAAATAAAAATGTAATGTTCGTTTGTGGGATTCACAGAACTCAAAAACCACTGGACGAATTGACACCAAATTTGGACACAAGACACCTCTCAGGCCAACAAGTGACCATCACTCATAAAACACTGAAAAACACAGCAGAAGGGACTTAAAAAGCCAAAAACGCAAAAAGACACTACAGTGCATGCACAAAACTACTTATTTATTTATTTATTTCAATTACTTCTACCCCGCCCTTCTCACCCCCGAGGGGGGACTCAGGGTGGCTTACAAACAAAGGCACAAATCGATGCCTAAATCAATAAACAAACAATACATAAAAGCAATTTAAACAATTAACAAGTTAAAAACATTAATACATAGTAAAATAGCAAAACAATCTCATGCTCAGTGTTCAGAGTCCGTTTATCCATTCCATTCCGTTCGCCCTTGTTTATCGTCAGATCTTTCCTTAGCTGCCAGAATGTCCAAAAGCTTGGTCCCATATCCAGGTCTTCAGTTTTTTCCTGAACGCCAAAAGGGAAGTCGCTGATCTAATCTCCCCGGGGAGTGAGTTCCACAGGTGAGGGGCCACCACTGAGAAGGCCCTGCTCCTCGTCCCCGCCAACCTCACTTGTGATAGTGGGTCGAGAGCAGGGCCTCCCCAGACGATCTTAAATTTCGAGATGGGATGTAGAGGGAGATCCGTTCGGACAAATACACTGGGCCGGAACCGTATAGGGTTTTGTAGGTCAAAACCAGCACTTTGAATTGTGCTCGGAATTGGATCGGCAGCCAGTGGAGCTGATGCAACAGGGGGGTGGTATGCTCCCTGTACGCCGCTCCGGTGAGCAATCTGGCTGCTTCTCGCTGGACTAGTTGAAGTTTCCGAGCAGTCTTCAAAGGCAACCCCACGTAGAGTGCGTTGCAGTAATCCAACCGGGATGTGACAAGAGCGTGGACCACCGTGGCCAGATCCGACTTCCCAAGGTACGGGCGCAGCTGGCGCACAAGTTTTAATTGTGCAAAAGCTCTCCCGGCCACCGCCGAGACCTGGGTTTCCAGGCTCAGTGATGAATCCAGGATCACTCCCAAGCTGCAAACCTGTGTCTTCAGGGGGAGTGTAACCCCACCCAACACAGGCTGTAACCCTATCCCCTGTTCGGCCTTACGACTGACCAGTAGGACCTCTGTCTTGTCTGGATTCAATTTCAATTTGTTAGCTCTCATCCAGTCCAACACAGCAGCCAAGCACCGGTTCAAGGTCTGGACAGCCTCCTTGGTGACAGGTGAGAAGGAGTGACAGATTTGGACATCATCTGCGTAGAGATAACATCTCATTCCGAAACTCCGAATGATCTCCCCAGCGGCTTCATGTAGATGTTAAATAACATCGGGGACAGAATTGAACCCTGTGGGACTCCACACAACAACGGTTGTGGGGCCGAACAGGTGTCACCCAATAACACCTTCTGGGACCGTCCCTCAAGAAAGGATCGGAGCCATTGCAGAGCAGTGCCCCCGAGCCCCATATCTATGAGGCGCCCCAGAAGGATACCGTGATCGACGGTATCAAAGGCCGCTGAGAGGTCCAGCAGAACTAACAGGGACACACTCCCCCTGTCCAGCTCCCTGCGAAGATCATCTACCAAGGCGACCAAGGCTGTCTCAGTTCCATGTCCCCGGCCTAAAGCCAGACTGTGCCGGATCTAGATAATCAGTGTCTACCAGAAACCCCTGGAGTTGTGTTGCCACCACACGTTCCATGACTTTGCCCAAATAGGGGAGATTGGAGACTGGCCGATATACACAAACACACATATATACTGGGTTGTTGTAGGTTTTTTTCGGGCTATATGGCCATGTTCTGGAGGCATTCTCTCCTGACGTTTTGCCTGCTACTTCTGAGGATGCTTGCCATAGATGCGGGAAACGTCAGGAGAATGCCTCTAGAACATGGCCATATAGCCCAAAAAAACCTACAAGAACCCAGTGATTCCGGCCATGAAAGCCTTCGACAATACATTGACACATATATACTCATACACAAGTGTGTATATAAATATATGTGTGTGTGTGTGTGTGTATGTGTGTGTTTATGTGTGTGTTTATGTGTGTGTGTGTATGTGTGTGTGTGTATGTGTGCATATACACACACACACACAACACATATACACAGACTGGGCCACAACAACGCGTGGCAGGGGATGGCTAGTAAATAATAAGTGGCCAATTGCAACATTCACACTTGCCTCCAGCAGACAAGAGTTCTTTCTCCCACCTTGGGCATTATTCCACAGATATATAAACCCAACTTCTGAGGATGCCTGCTGTAGATGTGAGCAAAATGTCAGGAGAGAATGCTTCTGGAACATGGCCAGACTTCCCGGAAAAGTCACAGCAACCCAGTGATTCCGGCCATGAAAGCCTTTGACAAAAACTGGTCAGTGACTGATTCTCAGGCCAATATGTTACAGACCTCAATAGTAGCAGATGGAAACATATTAGGCAACTACAATCTGAGGGTTTGAAAGGTTTTCTATAATTCAAAAGACATCCAATTGAAAATATTGTACGTTTTTAATACAATGCAAAAGTTCCGTATTTACAAATAAATAGTGTATAAATAGAAACATAGAAAAGGAAGTGCTTTCTGGCTCAGTGCAGCAGCCTCCGTGTTCTTGGCATGGGGATCTTTCCCAGATCTGACTGCATTATTTGTCCTGTGATCATCAAGGAATCCAGTTTCCTCAGTAATATTGAGTGAAGAAGGAGAAAACAGCCATCACTTTTGACTTCACGTTGTGCAAGGACAGCCAGGAACCTTTGTCCTCAAACTTTGTGACGAAACCATTGTCCTGCAGGCAAAGAGAAAAGACAATAATATTCTAGTTTGGACCACAGTCTCGCGTCCTACCATATGCCAGGAAGGATGAAGCTGCTGCCTCAAGAATTAGACTCGGTGTATCACGAAAAAGCAGCAATGATTACCATAATCATGAAACAATCAGGGCCAGCTAACACCTCCCAACAAAGGATCCCCCTCCAGGCAGGAATTGGCCAGTCTTTGAAGCTGCAAGGTCATTAAATGCTAATCAAGGTGGCCAATTGCAACGTTCACACTTGTCTCAAGCAGACAAGAGTTCTTTCTCCCACCCTGAACATTATTCCACAGATATATAAACCTCACTTGCCTAGTTTCCAATAAATTACACAACCTCTGAGAATGCCTGTCAGAGATGTGGGTGAAACATCAGGAGAGAATGCTTCACATAGTCATACAGCCTGGAAAACTCAGAGGGGAAGAGAAGGAAGGGAAAGGGGAAAGAAAGGAAAGGGGAAAAGAAAGGAAAGGGGAAAGGAAGGGGAAGAAAGGAAAGGGGAGGAAGGGAAAGGAAAAGAAAGGAGAGGAAAGGGGAAAGGAAAGAGGAAGGAAAGGGGAAAAGGAAAGGGAGGAAAGGAAAGGAAAAGGAAGGGGGAAAGGAAAGAAGAAAGGGAAAAGGAAAGAAATGGAAAGGGGAAAGAAAAGGGGAGGAAAGGAAAGGATAAAGGAAGGGGGAAAGGAAAGAAGAAAGAGAAAAGGAAAGAAATGGAAAGGGGAAAGAAAAGGGGAGGAAAAGAGAAAGGAAAGGAGAAAGGAAAGAGGAAAAGAAAAGGAAAGGGGAAAGGAAAGAGAAAGGAAAAGAAAAAAGGAAAGGGGAAAGGAAAGGGGAGGAAAAGAGAAAGGAAAGGAGAAAGGAAAGAGGTAAAGAAAAGGGAAAGGAAAGAGGAAAGGAAAGGAAAAGGAAAGAGAAAGGAAAGGAAAAGAAAAAAGGAAAGGGGAAAGGAAAGGGGAGGAAAAGAGAAAGGAAAGGAGAAAGGAAAGAGGTAAAGAAAAGGGAAAGGAAAGAGGAAAGGAAAAGGAAAGGGGAAAGGAAAGGAAGGAAGGAAAGGGAAAGGAAAGGAAAAGAAAGGGGAAAGGAAAGAGGAAAGGGGAAAGGAAAGGGGAGGAAAGGAGAAAGGAAAAGAAAGGGGAAAGGAAAGGAAAGGAGGGAGGCATAGCAGCTCATTTATATTCATCCATGCCACATATAGGGCTTTCCATTATATTACATAAGTATATTACATTATATACGAACAATTGATTCTTTTCTGTTCCTAGTTTGAAAGTGTTCTTTCTTTTTAATTGTATGGTACTTACTTTGAAATTGGTCGTTCTACTCCAGAAACTTTTTTTTGTGGCTGCCTCAAACTAGGTTGAATTAGTTGAGATTCTATGAGATAGCCACTGGAAAACTAGAGCAAAATGTGCTGCAGGATGTTTTTCCCTCAACAACAAAGTTTGTGCTGCTTAATAAACATTTTCCATGTTTTTATGATAGAACCAATTAGGAAATGACATTTATCACCCAGGAACAAAAATCATGTTACATAGTATTATTTGTCATCCACTGTATTTATGGCCCCTTCTACACTGCCATATAATCCAGATTATCAAAGCGGATAATCCACTGTTTTGAACTGGATTATATGAGTCTACACTCTTCCAGCAAGCCTAGCCAGCCAGATTTAAGTATGAATTTTAAACTTGTGTCCTTTGTTTAATCTCTGCTTTGTGTATTTTAATATGTATTTTATAGAATTTAATACGTATCTATATAAATAAAAATGTAATGTTAGTTTGTGGGATTAGCATAACTCAAAATCCACTGGACAAATTGACACCAAATTTGGACACAATACACGTTTCAAGCCAATGAGTGACCATTACTCATAAAAACACTGGAAAACACAGAAGAGACTTTAAAAGTCAAAAATAAAAATACATTACAATGCACACACAAAACCACATATATACACAAACATATATATACATACATATATACACACACAAAACACATATACACAGACTGGGCCACAGCAACGTGTGGCAGAGGATGGCTAGTCTTTTATAAAATACATTTTAATACATGCATTTGTAGTATTTTAACAATGTTTATGTGTTTTAATTATTCTCTAACATATCTCGAATCACAAGGAGAGGCAGATAAGAAATAAATTGTTGTTACTGTTGTTGTTGTTATTATTAGATACTCAATAAGATTAGTACGCAGCAAACAATATCGCTATGCTGGCTTTTGTATTTGATCACACGTCAGACACTTCCCAAGTGTCGAGGACTGTGTGATGTATCGGAATAATGCATGCAGATCTGAGTAGGGTAGCCTTTTGCAGCTGACGATGGTAATTTTGTCAGTGCCAATTGTTTTTAAGTGCAGGCCAAGGTCTTTAGGCACTGCACCCAGTGTGCTGATCACCACTGGGACCACCTATTATTATTATTATTATTATTATTATTATTATTATTATTATTATTTTGGCCCAGTTTACCTGTCCGAACGGATTCTCCCCTATGAACCATCAAGGCTATTAAGATCTTCCGGGGGGGGGGGGGGGCTGCTCTTGGTCCCACCACCCTCGCAATCACGGTTGGTGGGGACGAGGGACAGGGCCTTCTCGGTGGTGGCTCCCCGGCTTTGGAACTCCCTCCCACTAGAGATCAGATCGGTCCCCTCCCTCCTGACGTTCAGGAAATTACTAAAAACCTGGCTCTGGAATGTGGCATTTGAGGACTGAACCTAGAACCTCTCCTTGTGATGAATTATGATGAACTGTGACTACGAGTATGACTATGACCATGACTGGATTGACGATTTGGCTTAGGTAATTGTAATGATGATGTTTTATTGTACTGTATTGCACTATTTTAATATGTAATGACTTTGCACTTGTTGTTCTTTATATGATTGTATTTTATATATGCTGTAAACCGACCTGAGTCCCTCGTCGAGGTGAGAAGGCCGGTATAGAAAACTTCTAAATAAATAAATAAATAAATAATATTGCACTGCCATATAATCCAGATCAAAGCAGGTAATCTAGATTTTATATGGCAGTGTAGAAGGGGCCTACATCAAACGGTTTTAGTAAATCCAGTAAAAGTACAAGAAAAGAGTAAACAAATATCAACATGAATGCATTACACAATACGACAAAGAGCACCTTGATGTAAAAATTCAGCATTTATATAAATAAAATTGTAATGTTCATTTGTAGGATTAACCTAAATCAAAAACCACTGGACGAATTGACACCAAATTTGGACACAATACACCTATCAGGCCAGTGAGTGACCATCACTCATAAAACACTGAAAAACACAGCAGAAGAGACTTAAAAAGCCAAAAAAAACCCAAAAATACATTACAACGCATGTGCAAAACCACATATGTACACAAACATATACACAAATATATACACACATATATGAACGCCTGGGATTGCAACATCGACAATCCATACTTGGTTTTTTAACACAATCATGAGCTCAGGAGTATTGTGCTCCAAAACTACTACTCCTACTATTATTTGAAACTCAACAAGGTGAGTCCACAGCAGTAGTGGAAAAGGCTTAAAAAGCCAAAAAATATTTTAAAAATACATTACAACGCATGCGCAAGACCACATATACAAACACATGCGCAAGACCACATATACAAACACAAACAAAACACATATACACAGACTGGGCCACAGCAATGCGTGGCAGGGGATGGCTAGTTGCAAATAAATTCAAGCAAGATGCAGAAGCCAATGCAGCATTTCATAACTATCAGATAACTCTTAAACTGACATGTATGTCCTTTGTTTCCATAGGTTCTCAGTCAAAAGTGAAGACAATAACCTAGTTAAGGATGATCAATCTGAACTCTTACCCATCCTCCATTTTCATTGATCCACTTTGCTTTGGTATTTACAATATAGTCAGTCATAAAATGAGACATCTGCTCCAGGTTTTCTTTAGTCAAAGGGACACCGCATCCTTGGAGCTTTTTGGTCAAGATCCCTCCAAACAGGAATATGGTTAAAATCCGTCCCCAGTTGGTCTGCCCATCGGCAAACTCCCTTTCCATCACTTGGCTGAAGATTCGCCTGGCATCGTCCACAGAACCGATCTCCAATGAGTCCAGGTACGGCCTTAGGTTGCCTTCAACTTCTTCCTGAAGCGAAGAAGCCACTTTTCGTAAGACTTGGGCCGGTTTGCTGAGTGCTGGTTCAAACTCCGTTGCGTGGGAAACATGTTGCAGGTAATCTTGGACCAAGTCGTAAACATAAAGGGAGCCGTTGCTTTCCATTGAGAAATGAACAAAATTCGGACTGTCGACTGGGCGATGCAGCTATAAATGGTCACCAATCTCTCACTTGGCAGCTGAACAAAGTGACTCCCGTTTTATAATGTTGTCGTTTCCTCGCTGGTGGAAATTTTATTTTCATCACCACGGTTCCAGGAAAACCCGTTACGTTGCACATGCCTACATGTCCTTTAGCATGTATCTTATGACTGGAAGCGAAAGTTTGTGAGGCTGTGCAGTGGGGGCGGAAGAGCGGGCTGCGACTTACACTTCCCCTAAAAATTTTTTTGCTCTCGTTCTGAATGCAGACAACGGAAAAGAGTCAGCAGCCACAGAAAGGGGATGTCACCAAATCAAGTGACTCAATCTCAGTTTCATGACAATGGGTCCAAAGACTTCTGTGATGTCACAAAGTGTTTTCCCGCATTCATTATTTGTTTATTTCTCGCATTTCTATCCCGCCCTTCTCAACCTCCGAAGGGCGACTTACAATGGGCCCCATTACGAAGCCATTACATAACAATTACAGTAATTAAAACCACAATTAAACATAAAAGCATTATTTATTTATTTATTATTCGAACTTATATGCCACCACTCCCCTGGGGCTCGGAGCGGCTTACAAGAACAGGCTAAAATTTAACACAATTTAAAAACAATTTAAAACAATTTAAAAACAGCAATATCAAAAATCAAAGGCCTGTCGAAACAGGTATGTCTTACATGCCCTGCAGAAAGCTGATAAGTCCCGCAAGGCACGGACTTCAGGTGGCAGAGTATTCCAGAGTGATGGTGCCACTGCTGTGAAGGCTCTGCGTCTGGTTGCTGTTAGACGCAAGGTCTTGACACTGGGAATTTCCAACAGATCTTGGTCCTCAGAACGGAGGGATCTCTGGGGTTGGGAGGGGGTGAGGCGGTCCCTCAGGTACATCGGCCCCAGACCATGCAAGGCCTTCAAGGTGAGTACCATCCCTTTGAAAGTGATCCGGTGCTCAATGGGTAACCAATGCAGCTGCAGTAAGATTGGTGTTATGTGGCATCTCATCGGAATTCCCGCAAGAAGCCGAGCAGCTGCATTTTGTACCAACTTGAGCTTCCGGATCACCGACAGAGGAAGGCCAATGTAGAGGGCGTTACAGTAGTCCAGTCTTGAGATGACCGTGACCTGGATCACCGTAGCTAGGTCGTCCCTGGACAGGTAGGGGGCCAGCCGTCTAGCCTGCCGCAGATGAAAAAAGGCGGTTCTGCTCACGGCGGAGACCTGGGCCTCCATTGTCAGCAGAGGGTCCAAAAGGACTCCCAGACTCTTTATCGCCCCAGTTAGTAGTCTGGCTGCCGACCATTGAATTAGCTGAAGTTTCCGAACTGTCTTCAAAGGCAGCCCCACGTAGAGCGCGTTGCAGTAATTTATGCGGGATGTAACTAGAGCGTAGACCACCGTGGCCAAGTCAGACTTCCCAAGGTACGGGCGCAGCTGGCGCACAAGTTTTAGTTGTGCAAAAGCTCTCCCGGCCACCGGGCTTCCAGGCTCAGCGATGAGTCCAGGATCACTCCCAAGCTGCGAACCTGCGTCTTCAGGGGGAGTGTAACCCTGTCTAACACAGGCTGTAACCCTATGCCCTGTTTAACTCTAAGGCATTTTCAAATATTATATAATAATAATAATAATAATAATAATAATAATAATAATAATAATAATCTTTATTTATACCCGCCACCATCTCCCAAAGGGATTGTGGGGCACCTTACATGAGGCCGAACCCAGAAATACATTACAGCAAAATACAATAAAATAAAACAACAGAACTAACATCACAATAAAATAGATAAAGCATAGGAATACAATAAAACAAAGCAAAATGAAACAGAACAAGATAATGGAATGAGAAATCAATCACAACCAAACGCTGGCCAGGCTTCAGAAGTGTATTTGTATTTTTCCCTATGTGTGTTTTATGTAGCATAACATTGTTATTTTCCGTGTGTGTTTAATAAAAATATTTGTAAAGAGTATCGTGAAAATTTTGCTAGTAAGAATAAGAATATCTACACTTTTGGAAATCACATACAATCTACAACACAACGGTTTGCTCAGGATGGATACATGCCCCTGAAAACTGGATATTTTGGAATGAATCCCCAAATTAAGGCTTGAGTTTAGAAACAAAGGGGCTGCAGTGGCACAGCAGGTTAAACCGCTGACTTGCAGACCTTGCTGACTGGAAGGTAGAGTGAGCTCCTGCTATTAGCCCCAGCTTCTGCCAACCTAGCAGTTCGAAAACATGCAAATGTGAGTAGATCAATAGATACCACTGCAGCAGGAAAGTAATGGTGTTCCATGCAGTCATGATGGCCACATGACTTTGGAGGTGTCTATGGACAACATCAGCTCTTCGGCTTAGAAATGGAGATGAGCACCACCCCACAGAGTTGGACATGACTAGACAACATCAGAAGAGTTGTCTGTTTATTATTTATTTATTATTTATTTAAAACGTTTATATCCCGATCTTCTCTACCTCTGTAGAGGGACTCAGACCGGCTAACAGCAAGAATTCAATGCTAACAATAAAAACCTTTAAAACAACATACATACACAATAGGTAAAATACATATAAGATAAAATGCATATAAACCATTCACCAAGATAAAAAGGGCAATGACCTTGGCCTACTCATCTTTAATGAAACCAATATACTGTATATTTTAAACAGAGGATACAGGTAGTTGCATTATAATACTATTGTCCTCCCAACCCTGTTTTATGCCTATGAAACAGTTCTGTCTACAGATGTCACATTCAACTCCTGGAACAATTCCATCAGCATTGCCTCTGAAAAATCCTCCAAATCTCTGGATAGACAACCGGACAAATGTCAGCATGCTGGAAGAAGCAAAGACCACTAGCATTGAAGTGATGCTCCTATGCCATCAACTCAGCTAAACTGGATATGTTGTCCAAATGCCCGATCACCCTCTCCCAAAGCAGCTTATTTATTTTATTTACATTACGACTCAGGGCGGTATAAACAGTTGGCAAAATTCGATGCCGAAACAAAATACATACATTGATAAAGCAAAAACATCAAGTGCAATTAAACATAAACAACAGTGCATAATAAACAATTTAAAAAGAGACTATGTCCTCTCGTTCAAATCTTCATCCGTTACATTGTCTTGGCCGTTCCTGGGTCAATTTCCAACTCTAGTTTGTCTGTTTACTCCGGGGTTCCGAATGCTTGCTCGAAGAGCCAAGTTTTTACTCTTTTTCGGAAAGTCAGGAGGGAGGGGGCTGATCTAATATCCCTAGGGAGGGAGTTCCACAGCCGGGGGCCACCACAGAGAAGGCCCTGTCTCTCGTCCCCTCCAGACGTGCTTGCGAAGCAGGCGGGATTGAGAGCAGGGCCTCCCCAGACGATCTTAAGTTCCTGGAGGGTTCATGGGGAGAGATGCGTTCAGATAGATAGACTGGGCCAGAACCGTTTAGGGCTTTATAGGCTAAAGCCAGCACTTTGAATTGAGCCCGGTAGCAGACTGGCAGCCAGTGGAGCTGATTCAACAGAGCAGTTGTATGCTCCCTGAGCCCCGGTCCTGTTAGCAACCTGGCTGCTGCACGCTGGACCATTTGAAGCTTCCGGGCCGTCTTCAAAGGCAACCCCACGTAGAGCGCGTTGCAGTAATCTATGCGGGATGTAACCAGAGCGTGGACTACCGTGGCCAAGTCAGACTTCCCAAGGTACGGGCGCAGCTGTAGATAGTTTGTATGTTGTGTTTCTGGACAGGAAAAGAAATTTAAAGATGGCCTTGAAGCTAATCTTAAAAACTGTGGCATAGACACCAAGAACTGGGAAGCCCTGGCCCTTGGGTGCTCTAACTGGAGGTCAGATGTGACCAGCAGTGCTTCAGAATTCAAAGAGGCACGAAGGGAGGGCAAAAGGGAGAAACGTGCCAACAGGAAGGCATGTCAAGCCAATGCTGAATGGGACCGCCTTCCACTTGGGAACCGATGCCCTTACTCTGGAAGACCGTGCGCTCCACAATCACCTATGTATCCACCACCAAGGCACTGCATTTGGAAGACCATCATACTCGAACAACAAGTAAGTAAGCAAGTAAGTACAGGTAGTTGCAAGCTTTGTGTTGCATTTCTCTGTGCAGCACTGCCCCCTTGCAGCAATGAACAAGTGTACAGCTTCTCCCAAAACAAGAAAACAGATTTTTTAATTATATGGTGAGTTTAACAAGAAGTCAGGCCCCTAAATACATCAACATTGTCCATCGAGTAATACCTGAATTTCTTTGATTCAGTCTTTCGTTTCGTAGCGATTGGCATGGCGGTGCATCCTGTAGAGTTTTGATTTGTTTCTCTCTCCTGGCTCTGATGAAATGCACTCATCTTCCCTCCTCATCCTTTTAACAAGGTTTATAACCCAAATAATCTAATGGGGGTTTTTTTTGCAAAGTATATGCATGTAATAAAACAGGCATCTCCCGGGTGTTGGTTTATTAGATCGCTAATTCCTACTCTGATCTGCCGTTTTGCAAGAAGAACCATCACTCCATCCTTCATTTAAAAGGTGTCCAGGGTTTCATCCATGATAAGCTTTTATTTTATAATCGTCGTACCTTGCTCGTGGAACTTTACAAGGAGACATCTGTCATTTACTAATTCTAAATCTCTTTTGTTTCTCCGCTGCTTCTTTCATGTTTTTATTACAGAAAATAAGGAAGTTCGGACAGAATAGATGCACTAGATCATTGAATCAGTAGCATTGGGATATAACAATTTGGAATCAATCCACATTCACAAACACTATCAAAATTATAATGCTATTATTCCACTTTAACTGTCATGCCTCATCCTATGGGATCCCTGTTGAAATAGCTCTGCTGCCAATTTGTAGCTCAATTCACTACATTTAAATAGAGAGTGGGCCAGGTCTCCAATGCATTGATTCTTGTACCATGACATTTCTCTCTGTACAGATGTGCTTTGATGCACATTCAATGCTTGTGGCCATGCCTCTGTGGCCCCTTCTGAACTGCCATATAATCCAGATTATCCGCTTTGAACTGGATTATATGTTTTGCAAATAGCAACCTTATTTATTATTATTTATTTACAGTATTTATATTCCGCCCTTCTCACCCCACAGGGGACTCTGGGCGGATTACAGTATACACATATATGGCAAACATTCAATGCCAGTTTGACAGACAACAAATACAGACAATACACAGAGGCTATTTAACTTTTTCTGGCCGCCAGGGGAGCTGCTGCTTTCCGCATTCCCCGCATGCTTCCCCGCTGGAATGCTTTTGCTGGAGTCTTCTTTATGGTCTCATAAATCAGTTAATTTAGCCTTCACACATTTTTTAAGATGGTACCTAATTTTCCTACTTGACAGATGCAACTGTCTTTCGGGTTGCAAAG